GCCCAGCTAATGTTTGTATTTTTTAGCAGAGATGGGGTTTCAACATGTTGGCCAGTCTGGTCTTGAACTTCTGATCTTGTGATCTTCCCGCCTTGGCCTCCCAAAGTGCTGGGATTACAGGCATGGGCGATCGCACCTGCCAACATTCAGTCTTTTTAAAATTTATTATTATTTTGAGACTGGGTCTGACTCTTTCACTCAGGCTGGAGTACAGTGGCATGAACATGGCCCACTTCAGCCTCAGCCTCCTGGGCTCAAGTGATCCTTCTGCCCCAGCCTCTGTGTAGCTAGGAGTACAGGTATGTGCAACTATGCCAGAGCTAATTTTTTAAATTTTCTGTAGATATGGGCTCTCACTTTGTTGCCCAGGCTGGTCAGTCAAAATTATCGTGCACATTTCCCAGTGTCAATTGTACCCAGAGCTCCTGTGGGGATCTGATGACAGGTTGACTAATCATACATATTTAACAGGTTATAGGAGAAGCTATGAAGATTCATGAAGGTGGTCCTGACATGTGTATAGAACAAATATGCATGTGACATATGACCCATGTTCAGTTTGGGGTGAAAACCATTTAAATGTGTTACAATTAGACCCTACATGTCAAAAGGTTTTTTCAGGACACAAAGGCATGCAAGTATGTGATTTTTGCAGACCGGCCAGAACTAGTGTACGGGTTGGTGGTCTTTTTATCAGGGGAAATTTACTGAAATCAGTCTCTTGTCTAATTAAAGCTGTCGCTGTGGCTGGTAGAATGGGGCTGGGGGTCAGTGAGTCGACGTTATTAGAGTGTAAGTGGTTTTAATGCTGTTTATCTTGAGGCCAGTGCTGTTTGGCTGCTGAGAGCTCAGTTTTAAAAATCACCCACTTTATTTTTCTTTCATCTCTCCACTCTCACACCTTCATTCCTTTTCTCTCTAGACACGCCTCTCCGGCAATGCATGTTTATCTAATTATGCTCTTCTTTAAGAAATCGCAGAGGCTGCTCTTGAAACAAACCAGGAATGGAGCCCCTGTGGAATACTCCTGCTTAGGGGGAGTCATGAACAATTAGTTCACCACCATGGGGCCAAAGTCAAGATAACACCAATCAGACCTCCAGACCAGCAGTTACCAGAGACAGCCACGGGGACAAAGACACAGACTCTATGCCCTGCACCATTCCCATGTCTCCCATGCCAAGTTTCGCTTTAAAACCCCTATGGGAAATTATAAAATGTAAGATGCTCCTTTAGAACGTAGTTCAACATCTTCTCCATTTGCCGGCTGTCCAATTAAACCCACATTTCCTCCCAGCAGCCCTCACTTCTCGTGTTTGTCTCACGTAGCTGAACCTGGGTCCACTTACAGAGGTAATGATCACACCTGCATTTCGCCCAGTGCTTCATCATTTCTGGAGCACCTCTTTTGTTTGCCCATGGTAGCCTGAGCTGAGCAGGGCATCCAAACAGAAGTTAATGGATTTAGGCTGGACATGGTGGCTCACACCTGTAATCCCAGCATATGGGGAGGCCAAAGTGGGTTGATCACTTGAGGTCAGGAGTTTGAGCCTGGTCAACACGGTGAAACCCCATTTCTACTAAAACTACAAAAATTAGCTGGTGTGGTGGCGCATGCCTGTTATCCCAACTACTTGGGAGGCTGAGGTACAAGAATCACTTGAATGCGGGAGACAGATGTTGCAGTGAGCTGAGATCATGCCACTGCACTCCTGCCTGGGCAACAGAATGAGACTCCCTCTTGGAAAAAAAAAAAAAAGTTAATGGACTTACCCAAAAAGTCAGTAGCCTAGGATGTAGCTGAGCTAAGTCACCTGCTCCCAAGCCCACGCCTGCTGCCCCTACAGGAGGGGAAGGTGGGAAGGATGACACAGTGGAAAAGATAAGCTCTCAGAGCAGCCGCGTCTTGCTGTCAGAGGGTAAATGGCTATAAACCAAAAAGTATTTGACACAAGTCTCCATCACCTTAGGTTTCTTTTGCCAAGGTCAACGGCCATGGCCTGTGACACAGCCTCAGGAGGTCCTAAGAACGTGTGCCCAAGGTGGTTGGGTTACAGCTTGGTTTTATACAGTTTAGGGAGACAAAAGGTACAGGTAAAGACACAAATTGATACATGTAAGGTATGCATTAGTTGAGCCCCAGAAGAGTGGACATCTCAAAGGCAAGGGTGGGAGTGGGGATGGCGAGTACTCACAGGTCATAGATGGGTTCACAGATTTCCAGATTGGGGATTGGTTGAAAGAGTAAGTGGAGCTTAAACCAAGGCTCTTGTCACATAGATGAAGCCTCCAGGTAGCAAGCTTCAGAGAGAATAGATGGCAACTGTCTCTTGTTTGAACTTAAAAGGTGTCAGACTCTCCAGAAAAGACCTAGTAAGAGGAAGATTCTCTACAGAATGCAGATTTCCCTGCACAAGAGAAAGCTTTGCAGGCCCATTTCAAAATATTTCAACAAAATATATTTTGTGGTAAAATACTTTGATTTCCTTCAGGGCCTACTGTCGCATGATGTGTTATGGGATTTTTGGGGTGTTGTTTTACTGGCCGGAAACCTCTGTGGCCAGTGGTGCCTTTGCCTGAATTCTTGTCCTGTGTCCAGGAATACTGAGGTATGCAGACAAGTGGAGGGTGAGCAAGATGCAGAGGAGCTTTACTGAGAGTTAGAACGGCTCAGAGGAGGCCCACAGTGGGTGGCTCCTGTTTGTAGGAGGGTGGTCCTATTGAGTGTTCAGCTCTCAGCAGAGAGGCTGGCTCCTCTCTGCAGGCAGGTCATCCCTTTGACTCTGCAGCTGTCAGCAGATAGGAGGTCCTGGAGTGGGTGGCTCCTCTCTGCAACTGGTAGTCCCAACATCTCTGCAAGTCTGTGAAGCTTTCATCAGAGTGGGTAGCTCTTCTCTGCAGCTGGTCATCCTGTCATCTGCTTAGCTCTGGCTGATCCTGGGGCTTTCATGGGCCTCAGAGGGGAGAAAGTGTATGCCAGTTGGTCCATGGGTGGACCTGGAAAAGGCACCATAAGTTCCCAGTCCGGTCCATGGGACTGGCAGCTTGGCTTCAGGCCTTCCCTGAATGAAGGTGGGTCCCCACCAGGAACCTGCCCCCTTCCACAAAGGAATCTGTCTACCTCCTGCTGCCATTCATGACACCTGGGCTTGGCCCCAACTTTCCTCCAAGATCGGAGTGGGCACTGACAGCATGGAGAAGCCAGGCAGTGGGAACAGGCACTTCTGAGCCTGCAAGGGCAGGGGGGCCTTCCAGGCCTCCAAGAGTTCAGGGATGCCTGAGTCTGCAGCCATGGTTTAGGTGGCTACAGTTGAACCCAGGAGGGCAGGAATCCTGCTTGCTCCCAGCCTCCCAAGAACACAGGGAGGCTCAGATCTGTAGCCACAAGTTGGGCAGCTGTAGCCCTGCCCTGGGGGACAGGACTCGTGCCTGCTCTGTGGAGTGGGAGGCCCAGGTCTGCAACCCCATGGTTTTGGCAGCTGTAGCAGCACCTGGGGAGCTCCCATCCCAACTTGGAAGGGCTTCCTGGAACATGCAGCTCCAGCCATGCCTCCCTTCTGCAGCTGGCGTGATGTCAGCAGCAGGCCATCTAGAGCAGCCACTGCCATTAATGCTATACTAGAGTCAAGTTGGAATGCAGTGTTCTATTGCTATTACTGGAAGGAGGGCCTTGAGTGTACGTTGTCCAGGCTCTTGGTGTTTTGGACAAAAAATTGGACAAAACTCACAAAATAACAAAGGAATGAGACACAGGAATGAAGCAGCGAAATCAGGGATTTATAAAAGAGAGTAAGCACTCCACAGGCTGGGAGTGGGGCCTAGCAGCTCGATACCCCGATTACAAAGTTTTCTGGGTTTTCAGTCCTCTTTCGGGGTTCCTATCAGTTACCCCTTATACAGATGAAGGATTTGGTCTGTAGCTAAGACTGAGGTGACTGGCATCCTATGCAGATGAAGGGATGGTCCCTGCTTGGCCCGTGATCACTCCAAGCCACTCTCCTCTTTTGTCTGAGCCATGGTGGAAGGGGAAGGGTTGTAGAAAGAGTAACCTTTGATGTTTTGCTACTTAGGCATGGGGAGCTGGGTTTTTCCTTTTGGTTTAGCTTCAGAAAGTTGGCACTAATTGGCTTTAGGGCCCCTGCCTCCAGACCCAGGTGTTTTCCTTTTGATCCAGCTTGGGGAAGTCAACACAAATTGGCCTCAGATTCCCTGCTTCCCCCCAGACCTTGGTGTTTTTCCTTGATTCAGCATGAATTGGCCTTACGTTCCTTGCCTCCAGACTGTACTCTCCTGCCTCATGACTACAGAGTCAGTTTTGTCAGTCTTGAGACCCCGGTTATCTTGTTAATGCTGGTCCATAAACTCCAAAGGGAGGATGGTAAAATGAGGTATGTCAGACTCTTGCTGCCCATGGTGGTTAGAACTAGTTTTTCAGGAGTTTTTTTGGAATCCCCCTTGGCCAAGGGGAGGGATTCATTCAATGGAGGGGGGGAGAGCTTAGAGTTTTATTCTTGGTTTACACAAGCTTAAAAAGAAAAAACTTGCCTTCAACACTAAAACTACAAAAAGGGACTGGAAATTTCAAAGATAAAGGTCCCAAACAGAGAAAACAGCACTTCCACATCCACATTTGGGAAACATTAGCACAGAGGTCCTGGCTGATTGCTCTCCCCTGCCTAGGAAGCCAGGAGAGATGCCGGCCCTGAAGCACAGTGGCTGGCCTAAAACAAGGGTAAGGCCTTTCCTGTTAAAGGCACTTTGGCCAAACTCAGATTCGTTCTCAGGCCCACATGATGTAGGAGAATAGGGTCTGAAGGGAGGGAGCCTAAAGCTGAATCATGCTGACTTTCTAGAACTGAATCAAAAGGAAAACCTCACCTGTCCACACTCAAGTAACAACAGGATCACAGGCTACTCCCTTTGCACTGTGTAGCACATAAAAATTAAAAAGTACCTCTAATTGGTTCCCTCCTGCAACCAATCAGAGTGGCTGTGGACCATTTCTTCATTTACACAGGGTGTAACCAAGTAACCAATGGGAAACCTCTGGAGGGTACTTAAACCCTAGAAGATTTTCTACTGGTGCTCTTGAGCCGCTTGCTCAAGCCCACTCCCAGTCTGTGGAGTGTACTTTTGTTTCAATAAATCTGTGCTTTTGTTGTTTTGTTTTTATATTTTGTTCAATTCTTTGTTGGAAACACCAAGAACCTGATGACTTGTGGTCAAGACCCTCCACCAGAAACGTACACACATATGCACACACACACACACATGGCAGGAAGGGGCACAGAACCTGGAGTCCAGTCACCTCTGGCTCCAGCCTGAGGTTCTCCATTTGCCATCTGTGCCCTGGGACAGGTCAGTTGTCCTGTCTGAGTCTCGGTCTCCTGGGCTGTAGCCAGGGAGAAATAATACCTACTACACAGGGCTGTGGGGACAGCCCAGACCTTTATAAACCTAAGAAAGAGAAGCTGTTAGGAACTGTTCACGACATTCACAGCAAGGCAACCCTATCTCCTAGGAGGACATTGGTTCCAGTACAGGGAGCAGGACACTTGTTTCCAGAGGCTTCCAGAGTAACTCGGAGCAAACCACTTACCTTTCTTGGAATCAGTCCCTAGAAGAAGAGGCTATCCCAGACCCTTCCTCCCAGGAAATGATTCATTCTGTCAGCAAACATAGACTAGGGGGCCTGCTGAGGGAGGCCGGTACAACCCACCACTGCTCATGGGCTGTGCAGGGCCTGGCTGTGGGCACAGGCCTGTAACTGCAGCACAAGCTGAGATCTGGACAAAGGGCAGAGGAAGCTGAGAGTCCTTCCCCTGGGTAGGGGCTTGAGGGGCCCAGGAGGACTCTCCAGAAGGGTGACATTTCAACAAGGCCTTGAAAGTCGTATATGTATTTTCCAGAGGGAGAGTGGGGAGGGGGTGAGGCTGACATCCTGTGATGGGCAGGCCCACAGGTGGGAAGGAGGAGAAGATGGGCAGAGAGCTTGTGCTGTGGCGCACAGTGGCCTGGCCATGAGAGGGGTGCAGGACGGAGCACAGAGGGTGGGCTGGACAGGCTGGGCAGGGTGCTGATTGACAGCTGCAGGGCAGCTCTGCAGGCATGGGTAATTGCATGGGTCATTGTCACACACATCTAGAGACAGGAGGGATCTGTATGAATCTGGCTTTTTCCATGGCTCTGAAAACAGTCTTCTTTCTTTCTCTTGCTGAAATCCTGCAGTCTGCTCCCATGTACCAGTACCTGGATAGGAAAAGGTTCAAGGAAGCCTACCAGATTGCTTGCTTGGGTGTGACAGACACTGATTGGCGCGAGCTGGCCATGGAAGCACTAGAAGGTTTAGATTTTGAAACAGCAAAGAAGGTAAGCATCTAGTCAGCAGGAGCTGGAGTCTGGTCCTTGAGGGGTCCCTTAAGAAGGCAGACGGGGATCCAGGTGCATGGAGAGGCCATAGACTGCAGCAGCCTCTGGAGTGAGGCTGACCTGGGCTTGGATCTCAGCTCAGCCACCTCCTCACTGTGGGCCTGGGCAGGTGACACCTTTTCTAAGACTGCTTCTCTGTAGACGTAGGGAGATGATAGGCCTCATCCTCACAAAGCTGTGAGGATCGAGTGGGAAGATGCCTGTCAAGCCTGACTCAGGAGCAGCATCTCATAGATTCTGGCTGTCACTCTTTTTTTTTTTTTTTTTTTTCTTTTGAGACGGAATTTCTTTCTTGTTACCCAGGCTGGAGTGCAATGGCGCGATCTTGGCCCACCGCAACCTCCGCCTCCTGGGTTCAGGCAATTCTCCTGCCTCAGCCTCCTGAGTAGCTGGGATTACAAGCACACGCCACCATGCCCAGCTAATTTTTTGTATTTTTAGTAGAGACGGGGTTTCACCATGTTGACCAGGATGGTCTCGATCTCTTGACCTCGTGATCCACCCGTCTCGGCCTCCCAAAGTGCTGGGATTACAGGCGTGAGCCACCGCGCCCAGCTGGCTGTCACTCTTATTAGCTGTTATCTATGGGAAGCACCTGGCTAGTAGCCTGGCACATCAGAGGCACTCCGTAAATGGCGGCTTTTCTTATCGGTGTAATCACTGGCCATGTATTACACAATGCTGCTTTCCTTAGCATCCGCCAGCTAAGGTGGGAGAGATGGTCAGGGTCTCCGATTCTGACAGCAATGTGGACACTTCCCACGTACCTTCATGGCGGGATTCATGGACTTGATTCGTTGTGTCCTTTCCTGGCCTAGTCTATGAAAACTAAGAGATGGCTGAAAACATCTGACCCCTTTCTGCACATGAGGAAAAGCCCAGGTATGTTCCTGAGCTGTGTTTCCTTCTAGAACCTGAGATGGAGGAAGGAATGGCTTCCACCCCCCTCTCCCCTACCCCTTCCCTCCTTATCTCCCCACAGTCAATCAATGAGCTGCTTATTTTGTCCATACTACTGGATGATATTGAAGGAGTGGCAAAGAGGGATGTGATGCCTGCCTCGGGTTAGGTCAAGACTTGTAGGCGTGAAGAGAACGGAGACTGGACCAGACCAGGACTCAGAAGCCTGGCTGAGAACCAGCTGCCACGTAAGGGGCTCTGGGACCTCAGGCCAGCTGCTTCCCTCGGAGCCCCAGTCCTCCCAGTTGTGAAATGGGGGTGGTGAGAACGCCTGCGGCAGTCCTGAGTCTTCACTGAGACGTTATAAATGGGAATTTAAAGCAGGGATGGTTGTACAGATGCTAGCCATTACTAAACAAGGGAAGTGATGGTTGTGTAACAATGATCTAGATTATATTTTCAGATGTCCTCAGTGTAGTCAAGTGGAGATGGAGGAGGCTGTAAGACTTGAGAGGAGGGAGGAGGCATCTCCCTGGAGGGAGCTTCCCTCTCCTGCCCCACCCAGAAGTGCCAGCAGGGAGTAGGAAGAAGAAAATCCAGTATTGCTTGTTTGCTTTGGGCACAGAATAAAATGAAAAGGTTTTCCTCTAGACTGCCCCTTCCTGACACCCAGGAACCAAACACGTACCTCCTCTTAGTAACACCGCACACTGCCTAGCACAGTGCCTTAGACAGCCTGGTACTCAACAAATGTTTGAATGGATGACAACTAAGTGGAGTCATCCTCCATTTATTTCACTCCCCAGCCTGTATCCCCAAAACACTCCCTGAGAATAGAAAGGGGTGTAATGAAGCCACAAGATTTTAAAAATAACAATGTTCATTGATTTATTTTAATTGAAAAATAATTGTATACAGTAAGTATCTATTAAGTACAACATGGGCCAGGCGTGGTTGCTCATTCCTGTGATCCCAGTAATTTCGGAGGCTGAGGCGGGCAGATCACCTGAGGTCAGGAGTTCAAGACCAGCCTGGCAAACACGGTGAAACCCCGTCTGTACAAAAAAAATACAAAAATTAGCCAGGTGTGGTGGCGCATGCCTGTAGTCCCAGCTACTTGGGAGGCTGAGGCAGGAGAATTGCTTGCACCCGAGAGGCAGGGGCTACAGTGATCCAAGATCATGCCACTGCACTCCAGCCTGGGTGACACAGCAAGACTCTTCTCAAAAAAAAAAAAAAAATTAGGTACAACATGATGCTTTGAAAAAGCCGCATGATGTTGAGGACAGGCTATGTATGAGTTGCTATTTCATCTAAATCCCGAATTCCTGGCCTTTCTTTCCTCTGTGCCAGGCACTCAGGCTCACCAGCTTGCACAGGGTGGTTCCTAGTGATGGACTGCCATCCCCACTAGATGGCAGAGAAGAGCTGCTGAGCTCCCCCCAGGCCCTGAGCAGAGCTTCAGGTGCCTCCCTGTTCCCAGGCTGCCCTCTGCTGAGCCCATTCAGAGGCCTTGTGACTCTGACCAAGCACCCTGACCCTGCAGGATGTGTCAGTGTTGAAAGCATTCAGAAACAGATTTCTTAGTGGACAAATCCTAGACTCCAGCACAGCTGAGCTATAGCTAGAAAGACCATTCACAGGGTGTCACTAGCAGGCCCCTTTCCACAAAGAAGGTGGCTGGAGCCCAGAGGCAGGGAAGAAATAGGCTCAGAGCAAGGACTGAGACCCCGAACGCTCCTTTCCCTCTTGGCCACTGTGCTGGGCTTTGCGGGTTGCCCTCTCTAGGTGCTTTAAGGAAACCCAGAGCTAGAGGGTGGTGTGTAAAACCTGCAGCTTGGGGCACAGGCAGTCTTAGCCCTCTGTCCTTAGGCCCATGTGATGGCAACATTGCCCTTTTCTACGGATTCCTCTTCACAAACACTTGTTTGCCAGGTTCCGACTCTGATGCCTCACTTGACACTGCCTCCCGCCCCTGCCCATGCTCAGATGGTTCATCCGTGTTCTCCAGGCATCTGCTTCATACTCAGAGAGCTCTTAGCTGGAGGAGGTGTCATGATCTGTTGAATTGGCCAGCCTCCCCTGTTAGAATGTGGGCCTTTGAATTGTGGAGGGGGACAGGGGCCAAGACATGTTTCTCCCTGGGTCCTCAGCCTCTGACAGGAAGCCGGGCCTGTGGGATGAAAAGATGAAGTCACATTTCGGCGATCCACAAGTAGCCAGAGGCTGGGGCCTCACTCATCTCCCGAGGTCTTTTTAGGAGGGAGGATGCCGTGCCACTGAGGGTTGCTCTGCACATTTGATTCAAAGGGCTCCAGAGCCACTGCCTCCTTCAGGCACAGGTCAGCCAGTTCTGAATGGGGCAACGTAAAGAAGTACAGCTGCTAGAAATGGTGACAGCAAAGCCACCTGAAAATGGCCTGACCTGGTGGCTGGTGCTCCTCCATACCCTGTGCAGAACCTGACAGCCACAATGCTAGCTTAGCTAACAGCAGTCTGCCTGTTCCTCAGAAACTTCTAGAAGTCCATGAGTTAAAGTCTCTGGTTTTACTGTGAGTTCAAGGCAAGGGCTGCCATTAGAGGATTTTGCCTTTATGTAGAGTTTGCCTTCCATGGACTTGGGATTCATTCCCTTCCCCTCCACCTTCTTCCGAATCTGTCTTTATGCCCTCTAAGCTTTCCCCTCCTCTGCTCCCTCTGCAGTACCGGGGGCTCTGGGTCCCCTGTGTCTGTGGCACCACTGGGTAGGCATAGCTGTCCCCTGCATTCTACCCATGTCGCCAAGATGTGCAGGCAGCCTCATCAGTCTGTGCATCTCACCCGCTCCTGCTCTGATGCTGCCTGCACCCCAAACCCAGAGGGTCCGACCAGCTTGTTCTTCTTTGGGTCAAGAGTCTCCCAAAGAGGCACTGCCACAGACTGTGGCATCACGGTTTTGTTTTACGTGATCCCAAAATGACTGATGCAACTGGGTTGTCTGCTGTTCTTTGCATGGACCCGTCCCAGGGATAAAGCCGTGCCTCACTGGGTGGTATAATCCCTGCCGTGATGCGTAATCCGTGCTTGCTCTCTCCTCTCCTTACTGGCTCACTGTCTAGATAGAGCTGACTTCCCAGCCCCAGCCGGTCACCCAGTTTTGAAGCCAAGAAGGCGGCTGATTTGATTCTCTATTGCTTCTCCACAGGCCTTCATCAGAGTACAAGACCTCCGATACTTAGAGCCCCTCAGCAGCATTGAGGTAAAAGATGAAGCATTCTTCCTTCCAAAGAAGGCATACTTGGGGTTCATGTTTTAGCAGGAACCCTTCTAGCAGGCAAGAGCCCTGAGAAGATGGAGCAGATCTCACTGGCATCCGGACCATAGCCTTGCTGCAGGGACAGAGTGGCCGCACAGGGGAGACAGCAGCGGGAAGTGTGAGCTGTCGCGTGGCAGCTGGATGAGGCACATGAGTTCCACATCTCTCCAGGCTTGGGTTTCTTGTCTGTGAAAAGGGATGGGACGGGACCTACGTCACAGGCTGCCATGACGATTCAGCAGGTTCTCCGGAACTGGTTTGCATCCTCATGGTGGCAGATAGCTAGTCACCATCCTCCCAGACACAAGTCATCTGCTAGTGTTGCAGGAGTTTCCCAATGCACATGAGGTGAGCTCCACCCCCAGAAATGGACCTGGGGAGTGAGGCCCGTGGTCTGAACTGAGTGCCCCAGAGCTCTGGAGCAACCTCCAGCCTTGCTGTTCCTGGCTGAGAATACTGGCCTTGTCATCCCAACCCAATAGGCCTTCAGTGGGAAAGGAAGCTGGTTGTAGGTTCACCATTTGCTAGGTGGTGGGAGACACTGTGCTATTTTATTTTTTGAAACAGGGTCTCATTCTGTTCCCCAGGCTGGAGTACAGCAGCACGATCATAGCTTACTGCAGCCTAGACCTCCCAGACTCAAATGATCCTCCCACCTCAGCCTCCCAAGTAGCTAGGATCACATGCACATGCCATCCGCCTTATTAATTTTCTGTACTTTTTGCACAGTCAGGGTTTTGCCATGTTGCCCAGGCCGGTTTCAAATTCCTCGGCTCAAGCCGTTAGCCCACCTTAGCCTCCCAAAGTGTTAGCGTTACAGACTTGAGCTACCACGCCCGGCCCTTGGACACCGTTCGTAATTTCTGTGTATCTTAATGCTGTCCGGCTGTGTGTAAAAAGGTGTACACATTTTTTTCTCCTGAACAGATTTATTGGAGGGTATGGGAATGTGAGATACATTTGAATTCCCGGTTGGCAACCGAGGAAATCAGCAAATGTCTTGTCTTTCATTCAGTTGTGCATAATAAACACCTGTCATGGGTCAACCCTTGTGTCGAGCTCAGTGGGCACAGAGCTGAGGAGAGAGACGCCTGCAGGAGCTCACAGCCCGCTGAGCCTCATAAGCTGCCCTGTGTTGAGTCTGCTGTGTGCCCCACGCGTGACCCATGCGGGTGCTGTTGTAGATCCTCAGGTTAACTGGATGAGGCAGGTCCTGTTGCTCTCCATATTCCATGCAGGAGGAAGCTAAGGCTCAGTGAGGCTATGCCATATTCCCACGGGTCCACAGCCAAAAGCTCAGTGGATTTCAAGCCCAGGCTGTTTTCTAAGCTCGTGTTGTCAGCCACGTACCCTCCCCACCTGCGAGTCAAGAGGGGTGCCTGTATGTTCTGGGGTTTACCTACCTGCGTGTTAATGGGCTTGTTCAGAGCCATTGCCCGAAATGCCCAGTGCTGCTGACTCTCACTTGTAAATCAGCTGGCTGGGACCCAGGGGTCTTCACCTGAAACCAAGGAGGATAATTTTTCTCTCTACAAAAGTAACTGGGTGCTGTGGGGTCTAACTATTATTAGTCACTTTCCAAGGTCAAAATGTCTGCTGCTCCTCATGTGCTATGAGCTGGGAAGTAGGTTAAACTCCTAAGATTGTCTCTTAAAAAAAAAACGAAGTGCCTTCAAGTGAGCTCCATGTTGACTGCCTGCGGCCTTAGTTGCACACATCTGGGTGCTCAGCATAATTGCAGAGAACTGTGGATCCTCAGGAGGTACCTTTTGGATAGGGAGATGTCCCTGTCCTGCTGACAGGGGGAAAGAACCTGCCCATGGTGACGTGTACCTGGCGAGTACGATGGATTGTTTTTATTCATTATGGTGACATCCTGGACTCATTTTCATGCCTAGTAAAACTGTTTTTGTTTGGTTTGGTTTGGTGTGGTTTGGGTTTTTTGCAGGGATAGTCTTGCTATATTGACCAGGCTGGTTTTGAAGTCCTGGGTTCATGTGATCCTCTTGCCACAGCCTCCCAAAGTGTAGGGATCACAGGCATCAGTCATCATGTCCCTCCAAAATATTATATCTCACTGCAAGATTTTAATTCATTTCCAACTACTAGGAGCTAGTCTGTCTGATGAGCCTGAGCTGTGTGCAGGTTTTTAGAATGATGATTTCTGTCAGTGTGGAAGCATGTTGCCTCCAGCTGTTAAAACTTTCACCAGCTTGTCTAAGAGCTTGATTCAATGTCTCATCGTCCTCTGATATGCTCCTCTTGCTAGAAAACAAGCAAAAGGAAACTGCTGGGGCTCAGGGCTTGGGTGCTAATGACTGTTTCCAAATACTCAAGCTGTAGACAAGTGAATGTTCCCTGACACAGAAGGAAGAAGTGTGCAGGATACTCCTCTTTATCCTCAGCTCTGCTAAGGGGTGTGTGTGTGTGTGTGTGTGTGTGTGTGTGTGTGTGTATTGTTGGGGACACCACTTGCTTCAGAAGACAGTATTGTGTGATACAAGGAATATCTGGAGTCAAACAGAACTGTGTCCTAATGCCAGCTCTGTCTGACCCTGACCTGTTCCTCCTCTTGTGTCTCAGCGTCCTTCACTCTAATACTTGGGTAGTGAGACCTATCCTGAGGGTCACTGAGAGGAATAAAGGGGCCATGTGTGTATAAGGTATATACCCAGAACCTAGTGGATGTCAGCATGTGGGATTTCTTACCTTCTCTTTAGAAGTAGGGACACAGTAAGACTTGTCATCCTATCTTATTGATCTCTCTCTTGGGCGAAACCCTAAACATTCTCCTGCTCTGTTATCCTCATGAGCCACAACTCAGCCAAACCAGGCCTGTGGATTTGGGAGATCCTCGGGGGTCTCAAAAGAGTCAGGAGCACACACTATCCAGACTATGCTGTCTTAGCCTTGGAATACACAGGAAAACAACCCTGAGGAATTTCCATTAAACAAACAAAGGTTTTCATCTTTTTTTGATCTTTGCTTGTCTGGTAAAAACCTGCTTTTGTTGTCAGGCGTTCCCAGCGGAAACCTAGGGAGAGACGCAACAGCCAGGAGCAAGCCCAGGTTCCAGTAGGAAGGCCCAGGGGGCTCACTGGAAATAGCCACATGTAACCTTTGTGAAGGCTGCTTCCTGCCCATGGCTGCAGAGGCCATTTCCTGTGCTTCTAATTTTTCCAGGAGAGGAAGAAGCGGGGAGAGACCAACAATGACCTGTTTCTGGCAGATGTGTTTTCCTACGAGGGGAAGTTCCATGAGGCCGCCAAACTGTACAAGAGGAGTGGGCACGAGAACCTCGCACTTGAAATGTACACCGATCTCCGCATGTTTGAGTATGCTAAGGTAATCCACCCCATCCCGGGCCCAAGCTCTGGCTTGGAGCCCACTGGTGTTCCCACCTGCAGTGTCCAAGTTGTTTCCCCCAAGAGTGTTGCAGAAGAAAACTAGCAATGGCCTCAGAAAGGATGTGGGGAAACGGGTAAACAAAAGACCCCTCTACAGCCACTGGTTGAAACTCACCTAAAACTGACCTTTAAGGCTGACACCAAAGGGGCAGAGTATTGCAGTTCAGACCTTCGTCAGCAGCAGAGATGGATGTCTGTGGGTCTGCACCAGCACAGTCATCGAGTCAAGGGCTCAGGGCTTCAGGGCAGTCTCCCACAAATCCTCTCAATCCTTGTCAGGAGCCACTAAGAATCGGTGTCTTCAGGTGGGAGCCGGTGCTGCCAGTCATACGGGACAATGTGGTGCACGCCAGCCAAGGTTCCCTAAGTGCCTGCCAATTGTCCAGGGCTTCGCACTGGGCTTCTGGAAAGTCAGGCAGAGCCTCCGCCCTCCCGTGTTAGCCCTGCGTGCCTCACACCTGGCAGCTGCAGAGTGGCTACCACGTGGTTGCAGTGGGTGATGGCAGAGATTCCCTTTTGCGTTGGGATAGCCCCCATGAACCCTAGTCCCCAGCAGGGCTGGGCCTTTGAAGGCAGGTGTGGGAGAGGAGCGTCCCAGACCGGGCTCCTGATGACTTCTGTGGGAACGAGTTGCACTACGGAGCCCAGACCAGTCAAGACACTTGCAGTTCAGTCTAAGCAAGGTTCAAAGAGGCTTGGGTGCATTGAGCAATGATTTTCTTCCTTCCACAGAGGGGCTTTGTTAACCTGCCTTTTCTGGGAGTCTCAGAAGTGGCTCTCAGTATGTGATGAAGTGACTCATTAGCCACAACCCATGAGTGGCTACTAATGGTAATTCTCCAGCTCACAAGTTCAGGATGGAAAGTCTTCCCCACTTTTGTCTGCTTTTCTATTCCTGAAGACGGCTGTGCTCTTCCACTATCTGTTTGATCCTGGGGCTGAAGGTGATGTTGCCCGGGACTTATTGCTCATCGGCAGCTGGACGAGCTTCTGGGCGCCAGCCTCTCTTTCACCTTAGTGATTTCTTCACTTTGTACCTGAGACCCAGGGAGTTCAGGCACCCTCTGCTGTTTCTCCGTCACCTTTTCTGCACTCTCCCACACCCCACCACAGACACGTAGAAGATTTCATAACACATTCGTACTGAGATCACCTGAGGCAGTGCATCTCTGCTTCTGGGGATAACAAAATTTTAACTCAGGATGAACCCTTAAGTGATCAAAACCCTGGGGGTAGAATTTAGGCTAACGGACCCCTAAAGCCTCCTCACAGAGGCAGCTGTGGTGCAATCTGAATTTGAGAAATGTGTACATACACATTATGTGGGGGTTGGGGAGATCCAGTGCTGATTAACATGGCATGTTTTTGTTTACTTGAAAATTGCTTCCCAAGATATAATCTGGTTTTCAGAGAATTTTTAAATTACAGTCCCACGTACAAATAAATTGTATGCTTTCCGGATAAGTGACATGTTTATATGGTGATAAAGGGAATTATAATGCTCTTAAGTCTTATGTAGTATGTTCTTATCAAAATCACCAAGCATGAGAACACTGTTTAGTCTCATTCATCTCTCAGCACAGTCTCTTTCTGTCTCCTTCAGGGCCAAGTCTTTGCCATTGCCCCAGATAACGTGTAAGTTAGCTTCAGAGATCAAAAAGTATTTGAAAACCCACTTTGCTGAGCCTTGAAGGAAGCTTTTAGACCCAGCTTCAATGAGTCTCTGCTCCCTGAGCATCCTGCTGGACTGCAGGTGGCTTCCCCAGGCTGTGAGCTGTGTGCCTGGATGGTCTCCTTGGGGTGACAACCCAAGTTCATGGCTCCTTCTCAGCCTCTAACCCTTCTTAACACAGTCACCCCTAGTCCCCTCAGCACTCACTGAAGTCCCTTTGGAGGACATCTCTTATCTCCTAGGATACTTGTTTCCCCCAACTGCCACCCTCATTTCACCAGCCAGGTAGGCAGGGTTTCCAGCTTCGTGTTGGCATAGAGAATCTGTGTTTTAGCAGCTGCCAAGAGGAGAGGTGTGTCTGTAAAGGCCCAAACTAGGTGTGGTCAATGGCTGCTTTCCAAGCTCGTTCTCTTTGTCAGCTCCAGGAGAACCAAAGGCCAGCCAGGGGGCCTGTCTTCTAGTGGGTCCCCAGCATCAGGGTATACAATGCCCTTTCCTCCCCTTCTTCAAACATATCATATATTAGGCTGACCTAATACATGATCTCAGGAGCTACACAATTACCCTGAAAGCAAATGAGGGAAAAAAGCAAGCTAATTGTTTAAGTGGGTTTTTAGCATAAGTTGACTGTGCTTTCCTGACATGTGAGCATTAATCATGGGGAAAGGAGTGCTTTTTTAAATTCTAGGTAAGGCTGACACAAAGCACTGTCTGCAGGGTACATTATTCCTGAGACAAACCCCTTCTTCCCAGTAATGCAGACCTGGGCTGTAAGTGCTCCCAGTTTTCCTTTTTGAAAAGCTCCACCTGAAAAGCTGCCTCAACTCTGGCAAACTCCCATGTGTGCATTTTGGGTAACTACCCTGAAAAGAGGTGATGATCTGAGGTTGTTTCTCACGCTTTCTAGGCCCAGCCCAGAGAAGCTGGGCGTACCGCTTCAGAGGGCCCTGCTGTGGCCGAAGGAGTACAGGCTCTGGGCCTGACCCCTGAGCCTCTAGGACCCCAGCCCTCTCTTCCTTCTCAGGTCCTCTCCTGAGCCCCTTCCCCGCCTCAATCCCCCCATGGCCTCCTGCCCTCCCATTATCAGATCAGGCCCTCACCCCTGCAGACCTGACCTCAGGACAGGATCCCTTACCATGCAGGTGAGAAGCAATTACCCAGAGAGAGGCTTGCTTGTTATCTGTTTCAGGCAAGTACCTGGGGCAAAGACAATGTGATGATTCCCTAGTTCAGGACACAGAACGTTTCAGGAAACAGCTGTGAATGGCATTCCTAGTGTGCTGGCGATTCAGGGAGGGTACGTAGGGCCTGCAAACTCTGTGAGTCATTTTATTTGTGTAAGTTTAGGGGAACCCATGCTCAGCCCCACTCTGAAGCATGTGGTGCCATCCATATGATCTGAATAAAGATGATAGGTCTCGATATTTGGAATTGTGCACCAGGTTTTCTCGTTGCTGTTTAGGAATAGTCATGTATCTACCAGACTATATGTGAGAGAGAGATAGACTGACCGTGAACCCCCCACCCTGAATACTTCATGTGCAGTGCCCCAAACAGTCCAGAAAGTATTGTTTAGCTGAAGAACAAATGAAGCACTGGGGGCCAGTGTCCTTGACGCTGTCCCAGAATCCCCCAGGAACACCTCCAGGGCAGCCCAAGATGGCCCTTCTCGAGACCTGGGACACCCCCGACTCAGCCTCTCAGGGACAGCCCCACCTGCCTCCTGGTTGCCTGCTTCAGCCACGTGGAGCCCACCCTTGCTGCTAGAAGAGCCTGATGTAATGCTGGTGCAGGAAGTCCTGATCCAGAGTGTTTTTGTTTGTTGTGCTTCCTCAGGATTTCCTTGGATCTGGAGACCCCAAAGAAACAAAGATGCTAATCACCAAACAGGCTGACTGGGCCAGGAATATCAAGGAGCCCAAAGCCGCCGTGGAGATGTACATCTCAGCTGGAGAGCACGTCAAGGCCATCGAGATCTGTGGCGACCATGGATGGGTTGACACGTAGGTTTTGGTCCCTGGCCCAAGAAGCATTTGGCAGAATGTCATCACATGCCACCTCTTGGCCTTGACTGACAAGGGAACAAATTGTGCTTCTCTAAATATTTAATGCAAATGTGAGAGCGACTGGATTCTTTGGGAGACACAGAGACTGCCTGTATTTAGAGCTCAAAGCAGGCCCCACACATGCCTCTTCCTTTAGAGGGCACTCATTGAGGAATTCTCACGCCTTGGCCTCCACTTTGCTGTGAGAATTCCTGCACCAGAGGTAGAAAGAGTGCTGGGCCACTTCCTGGCTGCCGAGTCTTGGGCTGGGTGCTTCACTTTCCCCCCAGACTTTAGTCTTCTCATCTGTAAGATGGAAAGAAATGGAAGTAATCATGCCCACCTCTTAGGGTGGTGAAGATTCTGATTTCACGCTTGGGAAAGCTCATGGCACCATCTTGGGTACTTGGTTAGGGATTAGGAGATATTTGTTTCTACGCCCAGCTAAATAGCTCAGTGACTTCCGAGAAAGACACATAAGGTAGCTGATAGTATCATGTAGAGGCCACCCCTCCTGGTTGCTGATGATGTTTTTGGAGTGTGTATTCACTCCTTTAATAACTACCCACTGAGCAGCTCCCAGGGCCCATGGCACGGTCTCAACACTGGGGACTGCAGAATGAATGGAGGTACGGCCTGCCCTTGACAAGACCCAGAGCCCCCCAGCCACTTCCTTCCGTCAGGCTTCTTCACAGGGGTCCCTCTCCTACCCGCCCCTCCCCTCTCCAGGTTGATCGACATCGCCCGCAAGCTGGACAAGGCTGAGCTATGCTGCCGAGACCTACCTGAAGATGGGTGACCTCAAGTCCCTGGTGCAGCTGCACGTGGAGACCTAGCGCTGGGATGAGGTGAGAGGAAAGCAGGCCTCATGGGCTGGGGCCCCACCTGAGCCCTGGGATACACGGGCGGGTACAGGGACCCTTTGGGGTTTACGTGGAGAGAAGCTGCCCCCATGATGGAAGGAACATTGGGCTGGCAGTCAGGCAACTTAACCTCGAATTCCCTGAGCCAGAGAATCATTGAGGGCCTTTCCACATGTTCCTTCCTTCAGTCATTGAGAAAATTGTTATTGACTGACAGCTTTGTGCCAGCGAGGTGACAGGCACCAGGGATGAGTGTGAACGTGACAGCTCCAGTGCCTGCCATTGGGTTGAGCTGCCTCTGACCAGTGCCACAGGCTCAGACACATGGCTGATGTGGAGACACACCTGTGTGACATTTCAAACCTGCTGAGTGGCATTTTGGCAGAAAGCGCCATCTGTGCTTTCCAGATCCAGACTGCAAGAGCCATTTCAGGGGCCGGTTTTTTCCCTTCCTTCTCCATCTCTACCTCCCACAACCCACTACTTCTTTCTCTGGTGTTGGCGGGTGTGAAGAATTAGCCAGGCCAGTGAGAAAGGTGACCAGCCTGAGGCTGGCAGAAGCAGCTAATGCTGCCCCTTCTGTGGCTCGACCCCTACTCTCCAGCTCACTAGCTCCCCGTGCCCTGCAGAGAAATCCATCCTCGAGAGGATTACGGGCTGTGCCACGATCCTCCCCAGACTCACTCATCTACCCATAATGGTCCATTTTAGAGTGGAAGCAAAGCCTTCATTGGGAGGAGCCGTCTGACTCTTGTCTGCCCTCTGAATGGCTCCATTTGGTGAGGTGATGAGGTTACTGATGAGAAAAGGTGGGGCCAGGGACACAGGCAATGGTGGCTTCTCAAGAGAAATTTATTAGGAGACTTCTCAAGCAGCATAGATTAGAGCACCTTAGAACGACTCAGACCTGGCTGTGCATCAGGCAGACTTTCTCCCCATGGCTCACGTCCGGTTCTCCTGGCCTGATAGGTGGTTCTGGGGCTTAGGTGAGAAGCAGTCAGTGGGTCCATACAGCATGAAGCCCACAGTCATCTTTGACAACTGATAAGAAGTGGTGATAGGCCAGGTGTGGTGGTTCACGCCTGTAATCCAAGCACTTTGGGAGGCTGAGGTGGGCAGATCACGAGGTCAAGAGATTGAGACCATCCTGACCAACATGGTGAAACCCAGTCTCTACTAAGAAATACAAAAATTAGTTGGGCATGGTGGGGCGTGCCTATAATCCCAGCTACTCAGGAGGCTGAGGCAGGAGAATTGCTTGAACCTGGGAGGCAGAGGTTGCAGTGAGCAGAGATGATGCCACTGCACCCCAGCCTGGCGTCTGGTGACAGAGCGAAACTCTGTCTCAAAAAAAAAAAGTGGTGATGATGATAATGTCAATTCTGTTTCCTTAGGTGTCGCCTGCAATTAAAAGAAATCTGTTTGCAGCACTACAGGAGCCCACGCAAACCTTAAAATAAAATGTTTCCGATTCTGTGCGGCTTCTGTGGTCCAGAAACAGACTGTGTTGTTACTGAATCCAGTGGCTTGCATATTGCTGTTCATTGCCTTTTGTTTTCAAAGCACTGAATTGCTTTTAAACTGCTGGAGGATTAAGCTGAGCAAAGGCATGAAGGGCCTGAGCTACCAGGAAATGGCTGGTAACTACTCAGGAGGCGAAGATCACAGTGAGCTGAGGTCGTGCCACTGCACCCCAGCCTGGGTGACAGAGCGAGACTCTGTCTCAAAAAAAAAAAAAAAAAGTC